CTATTAAAAAGGATCACGTGGTGCACATCCCTATCTACGCCATGCATAGAGACCCGGAATACTTTGCCGATCCGGAAGTGTTTAGACCGGAAAGGTTTTTAGCGAAAAACATAGCCCACAATCCCTATACGTATTTGCCATTTGGTGCCGGCCCTCGAAACTGTCTGGGCATGCGAATGGCTATGTTGCAGATTAAACTAGCCCTGGTCAATCTCATACAACGTTATGTTTTCCACGCAACAGAGGTATTCAAATTAATATATGAACCGTTTTATAGCAAAGGGAATAAAGTCTAGATACAAATACAAGGTATTGTATACTGCTGAGAGCGTCACTAAGTTAAGGAATAGGCAGTGACCTATACTTACCAGATAGTTATTCACAAAACCTTGATTTTCACTAAAATAATTTACAAAATTTCTTTATAACTTTTATATTGCAAATATATTGCTAATTATTTAAGAAAATCATATTTTTGTAATGAATATACAGTTTCTAATTAAATATAGCATAAGAATTCAAAAATATTTTAATTTAATATAATTTAAACCGCAATTTTAATTTTTATGTTTTACACGTTCATATCCTTGATGAAATACTTATGATAATGATTTAATTCGTTTTTAACTAAATAATCCAATCCAATTATTGTCGGTTATTAGATATATTATTGAATTTTATTTTAAATTTTCTGATATAAACACGATGTCAAGGGATTAATTAAAGTTAATATTTTTAATGATATTTTATACATAATACAGTGTCTTTCACCATGGACTTCCACCTTTTAATTGCAATATCTCAAAAACTAAACTAGATAGCAATGTCCTTTCGACGGTTTCTAAAACTAGAAAGTATAGCAAATTTTTTGACATCCTGATCACCCAGGTGCGACTTATATAGGTGATGACTACCCGCGCGCCCATTGACGACAGTTTTAATGCAATCCCGGCGCCGATACCTGACGACGAGCCTTACAATATGTAATAATTTTATTATAAGATTAAATTAATTTTTAAATTATGTTACAATTATACCTGAAATTATAGCTACTTTATTATTCATACTATACATGTAACTTTTAGCATCAACTTATTACGTCTATAATAAATACAATTGTATTGTATGACTAGAATAGTTAATTTTTCTAACATGTGTATTCAGCATATTTTTATATTACGAAATTGAATACGTAGTAATAAAAAATGTATATAAGATTAACTTTGTACTCTCCCCTCCCTCTCTCTCTCACTCTCTTATAAAGCTAGTCATAGGGTATTGCAATGAAGTTTGTTTAATTTCTCGCTTATTAGGTATAGCAAAAACCTATGCTCTGGCACACTTAAAGTCCATTATGAGGTAGCCATGAAAAACAAGAATATTCTGTGATAATGGATTATTTGCTGGACACATAGTCAGCGCAAAGATTATTATTTTCCTATTTTTCAAAAAGTCTCATTTTGTTATAAGTCTAACCCAATATTTATTTTATAATTCAAATTGGAAATTATCATTCCACTACACATAAAGTAACATAAAAATATGTAATATAACCAATTTTATTTAAATTTTAAAAATTAATAAAACACAAGTATTAATTACACAAGTATTATATTTCTACACCTTGCTCATACATCATTGTCTACTGGCGAGCGAATGTGACGATCATCGCCGCCGACCCCATAGTACTGGTCACCCGAATCTCATTGCCCTGAATCTCGAAACGAGTCTCGATCTCAATGTCGTTTGCTCCGCGTCGGGTTTCCACGAGCCGATTGCCGTCGAACCTCATCACCGCCTGAGTAGTGGTGCCGTCGGGCAGGTTCACCACAAACTCCTTGTCCAACTCGAACGTAGTCTCGACCACCTTTGGGCCGACAGTCACTTTGTTCGTGTAGATTGAGCCCGATTTGCTGAACTCCAGTACCCGTACGACGGGAACGGCACCCACGGCTTCATCATCATCATCGCCGGGTTTCCCTATGAATAAAGTTTAATATAATTTTATTTTCATTACATTAACCCACAGATGGCGATATGTGTGGACACATGACTCATACCGTTGTATACTTTAGTAAAAGCTTCCAAATTCTCACACGAGGTCTCTACGAATTTGCCAATGAACTTGTCCATTTTAATAAGTTAATTTGCCCGTCTTTTAACTTTTAGTATTTTGACGCGAATAAATGTGTACTTGCGGTTTGTGTATTGGTTAGTACAATATATAATTTGAGTTTTAATACTATTATTTTTCGCAATTCATGGTCATATAATTGGGTTATAACAATTCAACATGTATCATGCATAAATGTATTTACAGAATATGTTCGCAAGTAATGTTATATTAACACACAAGATATTTTCATTTTAGCAAAAAAACAAAAATATAATTTTTTTTCGAATAATATAATATCAATTTATTAAAAAAGTTTTAACTTATAAAATATATGACGGTTTCTATCCGGACTCGCCCAAAACGCCTACGGCCTATAAGGCCTACTTTTACAAAATTCGAAATTATTTATTAATTAAAAGTGTTAAACTGGTCAACTAATTTTATTTAAGTTTAGAACTTATTAATTTAGTCATAAATTACGTTAGAATAATTTTACGTAACTTATTTACTTACCAAACTACGTTTATTAACATTTATCAAAATTTCACCAACAATTATGCAATAAATGGTTATATTGCATAAATAACGTCAAATATATTAGCGTAATTTATGTAATACTATTGTTCTAGGTTATATTTAAACTTTGGTCCACAATAATGTAGTGAATCTAAAGATATTTAGATTTTATGTCAAAGTAGGGTTTTAGGCCGTAGGCCTTTTGGGGTAGAACCTTTCTATCTTTATTCGGAATAACATGAATAACATTTGAACGGATAATCCTATCCTTAATCTGTTTCACCAAATTTTAGCTGGATGTCGAAATCTAGTGATATTCCATTTTTACCTACATTTACGTAGTAAAAGAGTGGGTTATCAAATCACTCTGTACTACCCCCTAACCCCACCCCCTCACTCCGTCATTAATGACGCACTTTAACACAATCCCATAGACTTAGCATGGGTTTTTTTGACAGTTTAGCCGTTAAGTACTTTGTTTTTCGTATGAAAAATCCCAGCAAAATGCGGCAAAAGTATTTCCGATGACGTAATGACGCTGTGTTTTCAGCCCCATGTTAAACCTATGGGAAAATGGTGTATAATGATGGTGCATGACGGTTGTGTCAAAAAATGTTGGTTGCGGAACAAAAAATCCCATAGCGTTAAGCGACAAATGAACATTGAGGGACATGTGGTCGGAAAAATACGACCTAAACCTCATTTTAAGTCTATTGGATAGATATCTAGTTTCACAACAATGGTTTGAAAATTTTCAAAATTTCTTGAAAATGCTAAAATTGCTCAAAAGTGCTTAATATCTCACTATAACCCGTATTAATTCCACTAGATCAATAAATGATTTAAAATACAACTTATTTTTTCCATTCCCTCTATCTTTTCTATTCTAACACTCCTTTCCCTTCCCTCCCCCTCCCTACCTTCCTCTTATCGCCAATCACTTTCTTCTCACTAATTTTAGTTTATAAACAAATCCAAACACAATTTTAATTGTGATAATACATAATTTATATGCTTATTGATTACCGGTAAATATCTATAATTTATTGCATAATTGATTCTATGTTAGATTAACTGTAAATGTGGGTTTCTATAGCATTGCCTGTAAACCTTGTTTATATATTATATATATACCAGGATAATTGAATAATTTTATCTCAAAGAATAACTATATTTTACCATTGAAAATACATAGGGTATTCAGTGAATTTTTCATAATTTGCTCTAATATAGCATAATATAATAAACCTCAGTATCTTTGTTATTTTCACAGCTATTTGAGATATTCCAAAACCATTTTCTTTCAAATTAAAATGGGATTATTAAAATTATTTATAATTTTTATGTAAAGTTATTTGGGAAAATTGTAGTAATTACTTTTACTATATAAAATTGGATTAATTTATAATTAGGTCAAATGATAGATTGCGTTAACAATGTTATTCTCTATTATATCAAATAATTTTATTATATATATAATATTTAAATACGTTAAAATATTAATTATATCTTATTATTTGTCAAATTTAAATTAATAAAGTATTAGTTGCTTTTTAAAAAATTATGTAATTAAAAATTTGAATATGCTATCTTTAAAAACAATTTGTCCTAAATGTCCTATTACAAATCATTTTTATTAATTTCAAAACAATTTGTCCTAAATGTCCTATTACAATTCATTTTTATTAATTTCAAAACAATTTGTCCTAAATGTCCTATTACAATTCATTTTTATTAATTTCAAAACAATTTAAAATTCGAGGCCTAACATTTGAATTAAATTTAAAAATCACAAATGATATACTTTTCAATAATATTATACAATAGACTTACACATATACGCTTTAAATAAACCAACTATTTATTTTTAAACTTAAAATATTATCATTTAATTAATAAAAAAATCATCTTTCTAGTCAATTCGTCATAAATTATATTAATTAAATATCATATTAATACAATAATTGATAAACATTGTACTGTATATAACTTTAGTATAATATAAAGATGTATATCGGATTAGTAAATCTTATATTTATATACAAAATGTAAATTAAACCAAAAAATATAATAAAATGTTAATATTAACTCAAAATAATGTTGAATTATTATCATTAATATACTAAATTTTCATAAAAATTATAAACACGATGTCAAAGTGAAACTATTATGTTTTCAAAATAAATTTTTAATGTCCTAAATGTCCTATTACAAATCATTTTTATTAATTTCAAAACAATTTGTCCTTAATGTCCTATTACAATTCATTTTTATTAATTTCAAAACAATTTGTCCTAAATGTACTATTACAAATCATTTTTATTAATTTCAAAACAATTTGTCTTAAAGGTCCTATAAGCTACACTTATAAACATAGAGCACAGATATGACCCCAAGCCGTAAACTAGCGATGTTTGCGTTTACTTGGTTAGTATCTACACCAGTGTGACCAACTCAAGTTTCGTAATTAGTGGACATTTTGATAAAATGATTGAATAAATAGAGGACAAATATTGGACAACATATTTTATAGTAGAGTTGAATTACAATTTTAGAAAATATTTTTTTTCCTGCTGATCTCACTAACAGAAATTTTTGACTAATTTTGTAATTAGTTTTTTCTACATATTTTTATATAAATTTGCTGCACTTAAAAGAAATTTAGTTAAATGATAATGTATTTTATTATGATTATAATGTGAAATGCTGTTTACATAGTAGTTTTATGTTGCAATTATTTTCTAAATAAGGCATTTTATAATTTTCACAAATAAAGGACATTCAATGTCCACTATTTCTCATTTAAAGCACAGAGGACATACACCCTAAATAGAGGACTGTCCTCTCCAATAAAGGACGGCTGGTCACACTGATCTACACTAGTTTCTTATGAAAAAAATGAAACAATATTGGAAATTATACTAATTTTTATTACTCATAACTAAGATCCGGTAAAACTCTTTAAATAGTGTTTGTTATAAAATATAATTTAGGAGCAAAACCTTAATATTAATCAGCATATTTATCACCGTATATATATATATATATTATTTACTCTTACTGGTCATATTAAGATTCACGTATTATTACTATTCCAATCCAAAACACTACATATTGTTCTACAAACAAATGTTTAATATATTTTTAAAAATATATTTTAAATAAAAAGTAATTGAAAATAAAAAGAATACGGTATTTGCACAATATTGACAATTATCTCTGAGTGAGCGGTACACTAAGTTTTTTTGAAGGACCGATTGTAAGGTAATCCTCCTAAACAGGAAGATAGTTGACAACCCTGAATATACATGTATTGAAATAAAGCGCACAATCATTTAAGCGATGGTTATATAAATACCTTTATCTATAAACAACTTATAAGCTAAAATAAATTAAAATAGTGTTTACACTTGTTTTACATAATTCAACCGACTAATTAATTTGCTAAAATGGACCAGTTTATAGGCAAATTCGTGTTTACCTCAAGTGATAATTTGAACGCTTATATAAAAGAGTGCGGTAGGTGTCGCTATCATACAGTCGCCAACCAAACAAACGGTACGTAATATGACTTCATTTACTAATAGGACTGGAGGACAAAATAAAAAGCTGTAACTTGAGGCCGCGGGCACTGGAGGTGAGCAAAGTGGGCGCTGTCTACAGGAACACGATGTTCACCCACGACATGCCCGTTGTGAACGAGTTCGAGTTGGACAAGGAGTTCGACGCCACCCTACCGGACGGCACGCCCTGCCGGGCGGTCGTGACGCTGGACGGCAATCGACTCGTGGAAACGCGGAGTCGACGCGGAGTTAAGGAGATTGAGATTTATCGCGAGTTTGTCGGCAATGAGCTCCGGATGGTCATCAATGTCGGACCCGTGGTTGCTGTGTTGACATTCGCGCGCCAGTAGGCAATAATATACCAGCATGGTGGATTAGTAGATTAGATATGTCTGTGACAATTTTCTATAAAAAAGTTCCATGCTTAATTCCTTTTGATTGTCACATTTTTTAAATATTAAAATTATTAACTTTAAAATTCAAGTTACGATGTGCATTTAATCTGAAAATTTAAATCTTGATTAAATTAATTTTATCATTATAATAAATTTATGGATTATTTCATTATTATTATCTCTCATTGCATCCAACATTAGTTACAAAAAGTTAACCCTTTTTACAGGACTTCCGATTTCCAAAAACCCATTTCCTTTCAGTGAGTGTAAATTAGCAGAAAAATTAAAAGACTTTTTTATCAAAATTTGTTATTCTCAATATTGTTGCTACGTTACGTGGCTATAAAATATGGTTTGAATTATTATAATATTACAGTACTAATTGCTAAATTAGTAGGAATTTGTAGGGTATTTTCATTAAAATAGCAACATTGATTGAATATTTGGTGTATTCATAAAAAATTTATATTTGAACAAGGGCCTAGTGTATCCGTATAAGTGTTAAACAATATTCACAATCGTATTACACTGTTTTAACATTATGGCAATACTAGCTCTATGAAGGTGGTCTATGGAATGCCGCTACGTATTCATAATGTGTTTAGAGTTTAGATTTAGTATAGTGGTAGGTGGTAAGTGGTAAGATAGGAGTTTGGTATGGGCCCCTGTAGCCTCGATGGGTATTACTGTGTGGGACCCTAGAATGGAACGCACACTATTGATATGGTGTAAATTGAATTGGATTTTGATGTGACGCAGGGAGAGGCATTACAATATTTATTCAATATATTTAATATAACTCAATTAATATTAGTAATAGTTTACGTCTTTTAAGGATAAAATGTGCCAGGCTCTGTATAACCCCTACCCCGAGTGGCATACGCGTGCGACTCCATTGTTAGGATTACGACTGATATTAACTTTTATTAAAATTCATTAATTTCAAAATTGTTTTAAAATAGAGTTAATTAAATGTCCAGGGTGAGACAATCTGTTATTGTTTTGTTTGTCATAACCAATATCCCAATTCCGAAAGGTCTTAGTTGGAAACATTGATGGACGAACATGTCCTGTGTGGTTATGATTGTCGAGAATAGTTAGCCAGTAACACAATCAAGATTTTGAATTAATTAAACTTGGCGAAGCAAGTTAGTTAGCTTGATAAATTTACGTCCAACCAATACTGGCATCCTAATTTTGTCATTGAAATAACATACAAGTTTTATGGACTTTACACAAGTTCAATTGTGCAATTGTATGAGAATGCTTTGTGCCATCAAACATAAGAAAATTTTAGCAATAATTACCGATATATGAACACAAAATAATAGTATGACATTATCTACAATTAAATCTAATGCTAAACCCAATGACAAAATGAGGATGTCAGCGATAGTTTACGTAAATTTAGCAATCTAATTTACTTGATTCGGCAAGTTTAGTCAATTCAAAATGTTAATGGTGGTAATGGCTAACTATTCTCGGCAATCATAACCACATAAGACATGTTCGTCCATCAATGTTTCCAACTTAGTTACCCTGGGCACAGGCAACCGCAACCAACAATAGGTGGTGGTGCCCCTATTGTTGTATCCGCAATCAAGGGCATCCGGGTTTATTTTATAAGTAAATTGAAAAGTCATCAGTGATATGAACATTTTCTAGTCGTATAAATACCACCACAATATTCAAACAGCAATATTTAATTGTTTGCAAACTTTAAGTAATAGTGTTTTGAAATCAAATGCGAATCAATTAAATAAGTTTTCAAAAATGTTGTCAACACTACAGACGATACTCGAAATATCAATAATAAAATGGTTACTCATATCAACTGCTAGTATTGGTATTGCGGTGTATTTGATTTTCAGGTGCTCTAGCTCAATATGTTGTTGCATTATTTAATTTATAAATTTTCTAAAATTATTAATTACAGATACATTGAGTGGAAATGCGATTATTGGCAAAAACAAGGCGTCCGTACAGATAGTGTGAGTTTGTACACAAGGCTTATGAAATCATCTTTCGATTGGGAACGGGATCTCTACGTCCGTAACGGCAAGTGTTTCGGTGTCTATGAGTTGGGAAAACCGGTTCTCTATCTCTCGGATCCCGAACTCATTCGCGATGTTTGGGTCAAAGACTTCCATATATTCAATAACAGAAGGGTATGTTCTCTCTCTTTCTCCCTCTCTCTCTCTATTACTGTAGAATGATCACAATATGGCAATTTTTTCAAAAACTGTACATAAATCAAAACTTTAAAAACGCTGCCATTTCTTTATTAATTGGAATAATTTAAAAATTCTTTCAGTGATATTATTTGCACAGAAGGTAGCATGTATTGGCATAATAGTATTAATTGATTTAACAATTACATTATAATTAGTATTTATTTTGTAATAAACTATTTTTGTGAACAAATCTCAAAGTTCAACCTAGGTCCAATAATAAACAACCTATTTTGCTCTATAATTGAACGAAATTCTGCTATAAGAATCTATGTCTAAAGTTTAGTATTAAATGAATAAATTGTTGTTTATTACAGTTTACATTTCATTTACAATAACAAAAGGTTTAATTACTTTTAAATTATATTAAATTATTATTTATAGTAATTTTGAATATGTATCATTATATACTAAATCATGAACAAAATAATTTACAAAATTGTAATTAATAATGAAATTTTTTAACAAATTTAATGACAATATATTAAACCCACAATACATTGTGTTTAATACAATTCTTAATCTAAACTTAATAAACATAGTTTATAATCACTGGATTAATAGTGTATAATCATTTTATAGACTATATTTGTTATTTAAATTCAATTTAAGCATTCGATTAAGCTAGAAAATAATAATTTTATAATTAAAATAGATAGACCCTTGTTGCACGTTTTCGATCAATTGTAATATTATTTTAGAAATTTTGGTTATAATAAGCAATACTTTATAAAATAGAAACTTCATGACATCGAACTCTATTTAACATAGACTTCAATGAATAGAAGTTTTCATTTCATAATATTTTCAAATAATTAATCGTAAAATTAAAATTAAAATTTCAAGAATTAAAATCGCTTTTCAATTTTCAAATCCACTGATTTTGGTATAATTATAATACCGGAAACACCTTGATCTAATGGTTTCTAAAAAATAAAAAATATATCAATTGTTTATAATACTATTGTATTTATCAAACTATATATAAATTTCAAAAATAATACCTCTGTTGCGTGGAAAACATAACGTTGTACGAGATTGACCAGGGCTAGTTTAATCTCCAACATAGCCATTCGCATGCCCAGACAGTTTCGAGGGCCGGCACCAAATGGCAAATACGTATAGGGATTGTGGACTATATTTTCGGTTTAAAACCTTTCCGGTCTAAACACTTCCGGATCGGCAAAGTATTCCGGGTCTCTATGCATGGCGTAGATAGGGATGTGCACCACGTGATCCTTTTTAATAGTAATACCGGTGCCCTTTAGCTCGTAGTCCTCACCGGGAGCTCTCTGTAAGGACATGAGTACCGGAAATAGTCTCAGAGTCTCGTCGATGACTGCGTCCATGTATTTCAATGAATATAGTGTTTCGGACGACTTGTCACTTGATTTCTGTTTTAAATTTTACGAAAATATTTTATTTAATATTTGAATTAAAATATCTATATATCAAATCCAGTCTCACAAATTAATTTATTTAATCTTATAAGCAACTTTACAGTGATTATGATTAAAGTATATAAAGTACTGAAAAGTTGCTTATAAGAATAAATACTGTATTTGTAGGACTGGTTTTGATTTATATTAATTCATTTATACCAATATATTATACTTGTAATAAAGAAATACAAATTTTGTTAAACCTTTTAAAGCCTAATAGTTTATGTCACATAACTGTGGCATTAACTTGGTTTCAAATGTTTTCCTAGATGTCTAATTATTATTCTTATCTAAAGGTATACAGTGACGGACTTTTATTTAGAGTCACCCATGTTTTTGTGGTCAAATTAATCGGGAGACCAAAAATATTACAATAAGTAGTGTACAAATTTATTTACTGTATCTAACCAAAATTATTATCTGTTATACCATTACGCTACTTTACAATGTTGTGTATACAGTATACTATAGTAATAGATCGTATATAAAATATCAGTATAAACAAATTAAAAAAATTTGCAAACCTTTTGCTCAAAAAACTTATTAATTTCTTCGTATAATTTTTGTTGAACTTCCGGGTGTTTAGCAATACTATACAAACATATGGACAGAGTGTTAGCAGTGCTCTCATACCCGCCCGTTAAAAACACCATACACTGGGCTATGAGCTCGTCGTATGAAAGGCCTGAAAATATGAATAAACACGTAAAAACTCTATCTTTATTTTTATTTAATGATTATTCAGAAAAAAATTATAACCATTTTATAAAACTTTTAAAATTCAATTTATACTCACTTTTATCCACCATATCATCCGTGGCCTGTATGTCCTCATATTTCTCACCACTCTTACTGTCCGCATATTCTTCGGACCCATTCATCGCCTCATTATTATTAGCTTTCATTGATTCAAGCATTAGGTGCAGAAAGTGAACCCTCTTTACCGGAGTTCCGGTTTCCACAACACGTTTCGTATCGTCGATTAGTTTGAGTGTAAGATTACGAAAGAATTCCGTAATTTCTTTACTAAATATGGTTAGCTTGAACATTTTAGCCACTTTTGGTGTCATCAGTATAATTGCAATTCTTATATTAGAAACAAAACCCCGACTTAACATTTTGCGACAATTCTCTATAATAGGGTTTTTAGTGTCGTCCAGAAATGACACTTTGCGGCCGAAAGCCACTTGTATTATAGACTCCATAATGTAGGCACCGATAACTGGTTTCATGTCTACCGGTGCCGTGAGTTTGCCATTACCTTTGGCAATGATTTTGTCGATGTTGTCGTTCATAGTGTCCACGCATTCCACTATCAAAAGAGTCATTCGCTTGAGTTTTCCGATCGTAAATGTGGGAGAAATTACTGTACGGATCCGTTTCCAATCGGAATCCCTCTGTAAGCTAATCATTTGGTCAACTATAAGAAATTTTATCGCGAAGTTTAGTAAAGAAAAGACGAAATAATAATGAAAAACATAACGATTTTCTGCAGCTATTAATAGATGTCGAGAGATCTGATGGAGGCGTACGAGAGGCCAGTGATGCCAATGAAGCACATCATGTGAATGAGGGTAAGGATGAGATGACAGCCGACGCCGAAGCCTTAAAAGGGGTGTCGGAGAAGAAGTTGACTGAAGACGAGATATTAGCGGAATGTTTCCTCCTCTTCGTCAGCAGTTACGAGTCAACGACCACTACAATGTTGTTCTCTACGTATGAGTTGGCACTCAATCCGGGACTTCAGGACAGACTCTATGAGGAAATCAAAGGTGTATTCAATGAAAAGGGAGAAATGGATTACGAAGTGCTGTCGAGACTACCATTCCTGGACGCACTCATATCAGAATCCCTTCGCCATTATTCTCCTGCACTTCGACTCGAGAGGCAAACCATGGAAGACGTCATGTTAGGCAACACTGGAGTAAAGGTCGAGAAGGGAGTGATCGTTGAGATCCCTATCTATGCCATACATCACGACCCCGACCACTATCCGGATCCATTTACCTTCAACCCGGATAGGTTTATGCCCTCAAACCGGGATCACATTAAACCCTACACTTACCTGCCTTTCGGATCGGGTCCACGAAATTGCATTGGAATGCGATTCGTGTTATTGGAGGCAAAGCTCGCGTTAACGAAGATCTCACATTCGTTCCGCTTCTCCAGAGTCACCGACACTGACGTCCCCGTAGTCTTCAAAAAGGGTCAGCCTTTCTGTCAGCCGAAGCGACTTGTAGTGGGAATTGAGAAGCGATAAGCTATTGGTTTACATAAACATATTTATATACCATTTATACCGCTAACTACGAAATACAGTTCAAGTAAACTACGAATAAAGTTAAAGTATTATATTATGTAGTTTATTAAAGTTATAAATATAATGGTAATAAATTTATTTGTTTAATGCACATATTTATTGCTAAATATCAGTTATTAAAAACCATTTCTGCAAATACAGTATTTTGGTATTAGATTAAAAACTAGTAAACAAGTAATTTTAAAATATGATTAAATTGCTTATTTAATTCCATTATTGGGCATGCCTGGCAATCATAATATTGTCTAAGTTGTATCTGAATCATTTAAGTATAGAGAATTCAGATTTGGGCATTAAAATCGTGGAGATAGTGATTTGTGTTTTAACAAATCCAATTTTCCCATAAAGTTAGCATGGGCCATTTTGATAAATTAGCCCAATTTTCCCATTGGTTTAACATGGAATATTGAGAACATTAAATCCAATTTTATTTAATTTTCTCCATAGACTTAACATGGGGTTTTAAGCATATTTGAATCAATTTCCTCATTGGATTAACATTGGAAATTGGGGTCAATTAAACCAATTTTTCCATTGGATTAGCATGGGGTATTGGGGTCATTTAAGCTAATTTTCCCATAGGTTTAGCATTGGGTTTAATCTCATTTTATTTAATTTTCCCATAGGCTTAACATGGAATAATTTAGCAAAATTAATGTCAGTTAAGTGAATAATGTGCGCACTTTTGAACCATTTTTCGAAATCCCATAGACTTAATATGGGTTTTTATGCACTTTGGTCATACTTTTTCGACCACATGTCCCTCAATCTCCTTTTGTCGCTTAACGCTATGGGATTTTTGGTTCTGCAACAGACATTTTTTGACACATGCGTTATGCACCATCATTATACACCACTTTCCAGTAGGTTTAACATGGGCTGTAATCACAGGGTCATCACGTCATCGAGAATCCTTTTGCCCACTTTTGCTGGCATTTTCCATACGAAATACAAAGTTCTTATTGCTTTTTACGACCAAAAACTCAATGTTAAGTCGAAGGGATTTGCAATTTGACCGTCATCAGCGTCATTAATGACGGGTGGG